AAAGCTAAATCTTGTACAAATATACTGCTCAGGACGTTATGTTTGAATGTTCATAGTACTTTATTACCCTCAGATTTGGTGTAAGTTGTCTCCTGATTGCTTACAACAGAAAGAAACATCCTAACTCTGGGTTGATAGAAAGACTCCATCTGCTGACAGCTACAAATCATATGATCGCCGATTATGAGTATTCACTGCATGCCAACAGTCGCGTGCTTAGAAAGAGTTTTTCCCACGTTATTTCATACAATCGCACTTGTTCTTGACAAACAACACTGTTTGCTCACGCAAGCGGCCACATGTGAAGTTTAGAATATTTTTATTGATTGTGGCACACGTAACAAATAGCATAGGCTTTTTTTACAATCCGCGAAATAGAATGCTCCAGGGTTACCTTGGTCTCTAATGCATGTAGCACGCAAAAGAGCCCGAGCTGAATCGCAGTGGGAAACGAAAACAATAATGATAAACAAGTGTGTAATCACGTGAAAACTGGGGGCATTGCATATATGCTAAAGGTAAGCTTTGTTTCACTAAATTCATTACCAATAATTAGTGTGCGAGTGAAGCAGAACATACAAGAACGAGCATGCTGCCCTGAACTACTCTTTCAGTGAACAAGCACACCATTCAAAGCATGGAGCTCGCTTTTATAGCTTTTGGTGCGCTTTTTTTTTTTAATTTTAAGAGCCATAGGCGCATTAATAAATGCGCCTATGGCTCTTTTTCTTCTTTACGTCTTTTGCGTTTCCGTGCCATTTTTTTAGTTATATAATCTCCTTCCAGAAGTCCTAGAACTATAGTCTGTTTCATCATAAGTAAGAGCCGCATAATCGAAGATGTAGACAAAAAAAAAAGATGTGAACGTGCAAACACATTTTAAAAATGCAATGTAATGGCGCATTCAAATTTAGGTGTTATTTTTTTAGAGAGCAGGAGTTTCGTAGGGCGACATTGTTACCCGTTGTAAATTATAAAAGTGCAGTACAACTGTTTTGCAGGAACCCAGGGTCCCTGCTAAAGCCCCTTGATAAAGGCCATTTTTACAAGCAGCGCCAACCACTGTTGTGGAAACACGCAAGACACGTGCCACGAGCGGGTGCTCCGCCGCCAATGTTTTAAGGGGCCAGTCATTTTAGTGCTGTGCCCCCATTTTCCTCCAGAGGCCGCTCGAGGCACGGCCCTCGTGCACTGGCACATTTGATGTTACTTGAAAGACCAACGCAAACACATCGAGGGGCTTTAGTCCCTACAGGTTCTGCAGCGTGAGCTCCATGCTTTGAACGGAGCTCGCACTCGCGCATTTCTCCACATGCTCTGATCTGCGGTGCCACAACACACTCGGCCAATGATCCCCCACCGTACTTGGTTTACCTATAGGATGCCTTCATGTGCGCTTTGCTTAGGGTGGAGACATCTGGCCATTTTGTCCCACACTTTTATCTTTATTTTCTGTTCAGAAGCCCAAGAAAGAGCATGCCCCTGCACGCGTTTGTGGCACCAACTGTGCTGTGGAAACATTTCGTTTTCATCGGTTTCTTTGTATTTTACCCGTCAGCTCGCTCTATTGGCGTCGGGTACTACAAAGGGCGGCATCACCCTAAACAAAAGGACATTAAGGCACCCTAGGTTTAGCCTGTAAGCTAAACCAAAGGAGCTACGCTGAGTATCAGTACTCTTTTCCCCAATATTTTTATGGGTGCCGCCATCTTGGAGGTTAGTACAAATTAAACGCAACTACCAATAGTCATGATTCAAACGTATGACTTCCTCAGCATTAGTTTTGGAGTTAGGAAGCACACGTATACGTGAGCTTCCTTACATCTTTGGGTTTTAAATTTTGGGGTTTTGCAAGTCAAACAAACAAAAACCACTTAACACACCCCAATAAAAAAAACGTGTTTATTTTGACTAACTGGATATCTTTTGACATGCAACTGAAATCTCAGATTGGCCTCCGTCAGACTGCGGGGCACCTCAACCGGTATATAAAGCCTACAAATAGATTCATGGGCTAGCGCGTTGGCTTAAAGATGCTGAGACGTTTTAATGTTTTGTGTTTTGTTTTAATATAATTGCCACTTAAGAGCCACCGAGGTGGTTTTTGAAACAAAATATTGTCGAACCATTCCGACAAGCAGTTTAACTGCAAAAATAATTTTTGCAAGTGATAAAAACATTCAAATGTTTTCGCACACGTGGCAGAATCCCAAATGGCGGAATCCTTTTCATGACGCCCATTTCATTTGGATAGCGTCGGGTATGTGTATTGATGTTCAGTAGCACGCGTGCAAAAACAGCTGTGGTGCACCCACAGCCACGCGCTTGTTCTGACATCTCTGGCTCGCTCACTGCGGGCATCCAGGCATCTGACACCCTGACATCTGGCGCTTTTTCTGTCGTTCACGTGGCGTCCCAAACGGCACACGATGGAAAATGCACATCAAGCTATTCTTGAACAAGCGTCACCATCCGTATTTTACATTAAGAAACTACAATTTTCCGTAACTGAATGGGAAAAGTTTGAGGTCTAATAACATTCTTAACGTGTTATATATCAATATGGAAGTTCTGGAAAATGTAATATCGAAGGATGTTTTATAATTTAATGTCGTGTAATTTTGATTAGTTGAAGTGTTGAAGCGCACCGATCTAGGAGATCGGTGCGCGTGATTTGGGAAATTCGGTGGTGCTAGAGGTTGAAGAAGACAAAGTTAAATAAAAAGAGTTGTCAGTCAGCGCGGTTTGTTTGAATTTTGCTTTATTTTTCGTGTGTAAGGTGTGAGTGTTGTTTGCTATAGTGCGCTGTGGTGTGTGTAGTTGAAGTGATTCCGTTTTTTAGCACCATTTTAAACTTTTTTTTATTTTAAATTTTACAATATTTGTAAGGCTTGTTGGTTACTTTTTGATTCATTATATCCATCGAAATGCTTACGTAAACTATTGTGGATGATGGGACGTTATAATTAGAGAAATCATTTTTTGAAGATTAGAAAGTGCGGTCTATTGAAAGCTGAATATTTAACTAACAATTAAAAATAAACCTATATAATTAACTAACAATTAAAAATAATCGTAATATTGAGACATTAAAGTATCGCTGAATAACAGCCCTTTAATTCGACATTAACTTTATAATTGTAGGATACGTAGAAAGAAAGTTATAAACCGTCAAAAAAGCACCTAAACATCATGCACGGTGGGGTTGCACCTTAATTTAGCTCACTTCTCTTCGCCAATTTTCTTTTGCGGCAGAATTTCCACGTACCGGGGGTCCCTCTCGAAAGAAAGCCCACTGAGAGAAACCTAGGTAATCAATATTCCGACAAGCAGTATTTGAGTTAAAGAGGGATTTTTGTAGTAGTGTATGATTTAAACAAGGACAGGAATCTCGATGAACAAGTTTAGAAAGCGCCATATCTGTAGCGACGTGGGGACGGCAACACCCGACGTCGCGCGACCACGGTGACTGTGGTCACGCGAGCATTTCAGCTCACAAAGTAACTTTCGTCGCCCAAAAACGTGGTTTTGTTTCACAGCATGACGGCATGGCTGGCACCCAGCACACTAGCGTCGGAGCGTCCGCACACGCCCGTGTCTATAGTTGAAAAAATTTAAAAAAAGACGCGAGACGAGATTTTCGAGACGACGAGGGCGCGAAAACATCGGGAAAAACCATGCAATACTGAGTGGACGATTAATGCAGGGTACCTTGTGTCGGGCGGCAGCTTGAGCCACCTAGCTCACGCATGCTCAATTACGGTTCTCAATATAGCTTCAATTTTGAAAGGCGACCGAAATTGTTCCTTTGGCGCAGGCTTGGTGCAGATTACCCATATTTTGGCAAAATGTAGCAGTATGTAGCAAGATTAGCCCCTTGGCACAGTTTGGCATAATTGGCGCAGCAATCACATCACTGCACTCTATTGAAAACTGGCAGTTCGTATGAAAATGAAAGGAAGCATTCATTCAACCCCCGGATGTTTGTTGCTCTCCAGCTTCCTGAATGTTTTCAACAGTATGACATGCTGAAAAACTATTGATTGGACACTAAAGATGGCCAGGAATATATTATGTAAGTAAAAAACAAGATCTGGAGGACAAGTGAATGTTTTCTCTAAAGTTAATTTAGAATACAAATTTTCAAAAAAGTTTTTCAACTTTTTATGAAAAAAAAAAAAAAAATTAGGATGCAATGACTAACCTTTTATACTGTTCCTTTGTTGACAACATCAGCCCAGAGCCTGGTAGAAAGTTTCTTCCTCTAGCTTGTTCTCACCTTCACATGTATTGGCGAGGAGATCGAACTATAGAGGGTGCTCTGACCCGTTTGTTGTCCCCACACCTTGGTGTTTACCCAACACAACGCCTGTGGACATGCCCACAGGCCTTGTGGGCATGTTCCCGACCTAATGTAAAAATACTAACAATAAACGAAGTGACATTTATTGTTAGTGCCGCATGTCTCCCGAATACAGTCGTCAGAGAATGCGAGCTGGGCATATGCAACTTGCATGCTGCATTGTTCATGCAGGCCGGAGTGGTAACAAAAGAGCCCTCTCTTCCCCTCGGGCGTCCGGGGAACCCGAACTCCAGCCAAACGCTGACGCTGTGTTCAGTTATGTCAGCCGAGCACTGAGTCATTGTTACTTGTTGTCCCCATCCATGTAGTTCTATATTTTGCCGCTTGGGGTGCCACAATCTAATCTCCTCCTTAATAGAAACCAAAATTTTACATTGCCCAATCCCCACTGCCATAACCTTTTGTGAAAATTCAATCCAGCTCCTAGCCTTCCTTCCCTCGAAGCAACCCGCTTTACCATGCACATCTTCATTTGGGCTCAAGTGCGGAAGCGTCCCTGGTGGAGGATCAATGAACCCGCACAAACCCCCGGGAGTCGGCGGAAAGCTGAACAAGCGCTGCCCTAGATTAAAACTGCCTATAGTCTAGACTCTGCTATGTCCTCCGTTCATGAAAGAGGTTAAAAGGAAAAACATACCACAACTTGAGGGCGGGATCGGTTCCATTAGAGTTGCTGTCTGCAGTGAGGTTGCTAAGAACGCCGGGACCATGAGATGACTAGAACCAAATGCAAAGGGTAGTGACATTAATTAAGAAGAAAGTGGGCACACCTTCCAAGCACATCAAGCTAGCCAGACAACTACGAAGATAACACAAACAAGACACACCCGGAACTTTCCTACTTCAAAATAACAATGACAAATGGATGAGGAAGTGAAACGCTTGTGTGCCTAGCTATGCGGAGAGGAAGTTTGTCAGCTTCTTGAGAAGGGACTGCGGTGACGTCAGCACGCCGAGCTCCGATTGGAAGGATGATGGTTAGACCTCAAAGCAGCTAGCATTGAGGTCTATCCCCTATCCCTCCACCAGAGCCAATCAGAACTCGGCATTCTTACAGCAGTGCAACCCCTGCGCAAGAAGCAGACAAACTTGCGCTCCACATAGGCGGTAGTTTTTTCCGCCAAATGTAAACTTTGAAAGTATGCTAACACAATCAATTTTCTTCCTTTTTTTGCCCCATTGCCAGTACAGTAAAAATCCATCAGTAAACAGGTTAGGACTCACAAAAGAAAAAATCTGAGATATCTATGCCGCTGGAAACCACCAGTTTTCCCCATATTTTTGCTAAATTCGATTGAACAGCGGGATGTTTGGATCCACCCATTCAGGAAGGTCCACCATGTTCCTTGTTGCACGAAACATTTCGAGTGTTGCTTAATGCTCAACATATCGAGCATTCATATACCGACCATTTCTGTCAAAACAAAAATTTCTTTAAAGTAATTGAGAAAACAAGAACTCTTTTTGGGATACTAAACTACTAGCAACAATGGACGTCAGGGATTACAAACACACACTAATTATAAGATAATTACCAAAAATGTACTAATTAACTTTTGAATTTGTGAAAATAAACATATGGTTTACATTGGAAGCTTGCTATTTTTGTGACCTGTAAGAGCCCATTTTTCCTGCATTCTTCCCTCCCACATTTTCCTTTCTGCCTTTATAACTCCCTTTTCCATTGAAGAAGTCTGCTCAGCCCCACCACTAGTGTGTAGATATTTAAAGGTAAGCTTTCGGGTTTGGTTTGTCCATCTCGTGTTTAAACGGTTTGTGTATAAATGCTTGAATACCTTCCGTGACTACCGCATATCATCCGTTTCGGTTAACTTTTGCTCCCTGCACTCAAAAGACGACCAGCCCATGCCCCCACACTCCCCGATTTTGTGTCTTTCCATGTGCTTCCAGTGCGAAGCTGCCTACTGTAATTTAAAAAGAAAAACCCACAAGAAGAGTGCAGGGCCCACGTGGGCCTGCGGTAGTGCCATCCAGTTATGTGTAGACTAACTGAAACAAAAGATTAAATACTGCACCTACACTTCTTTGTTGAATCTCTAATGCTGACATAACCTACGATTTCATGCACAGTGCCCGATCGCCAAAACACAGTGCTGGTACCGTCACTCCTTTCCATATACCAGTGACCGCTGCAAAATGTAAATTTAAGTGGCAACCTCTCGAAGCCCGTCATAGATTTTCATTCAAAACTTATTTATAGTATTTATTATGAGCATTGCAGCATCAACAAAAAAAATATTTATTGCAATCCCACATCATTTCTCACAGGCGGAAATCATTCCAGAAAAATTAGGTCCTATACATCTAAAAGTGACATTTTTAAATACTCCTTTCTCCCGCGCAGTATTCAATACTGGAACGATCTACCAGAGGATCTGGTGTCTAAAGATGTGAACTCAGTTTTTTTTCATGCACTCATAATGTTTGTGAAATATTCATGTTCACATGCATTTGCGAAGCAAGTTTTTACTTGCATGCAAGCTTCCCTTAAGCTGGTTGTGTCTGCTTTGCGTTTCACTTGAAGTAGCACACAATTTATTTTCTTATTTTTTATGCAAGTTTTTTTTATGTCATTTCTATGTTTGCCAGTCCCCTACTGTACTGCCCTTACAGGCGCTGTAGAGTATCTGAAATAAATAATAAATATATATTATAGTTCCATACCGCCATGAAATTCTAGATTGGTGCGTATTAGCTGGATACACTGCGACGGACAACATGGCGGCACGCAGCCCGTCCGTCTTTGTCTCTTGCTTTTGCTTTGTGCATTCTTGAACTCCATTGCCTCTCACCTATTGCAACAAGACACGATGATTGCCTGGCTCATCTTCAGGTACGTACGACATCGCTTGCACGAATCCCCGACACTTCCCGTGCTCTGGGCTCGCTCGGCTGCCGGCCGAGTGCTGGGCCTGAAAGAACTCCGATTCGCCCCATCCTCATCCGCCAGCCACAGATTCTACTGCCGCTGCTTCTTGCTGGTGACGAGTCCTCGAACCCTGGACCGCGTCCCGCGTGCCTCCCTTGTTATACAGGGGGGCCTGCGTCCTGCACAGAGTAACAAATGGAAGGCCTAGCTGCACTGCAAGTGTGAACAGGTCCCACCTCGCTCCTACAGGCATTTCATTGACAAACGAGGAACAGTATTCCTCGCTTCTACAGGCATTTCATTGACAAACGAGGAACAGTGGCACTTGCCAACTTCCAGAATTCTACGATGACCTGATTTAACGCCAGCTCCTCAGTGCTGTTCTGTGACCCTTAACCCTGAAACTGTCAGCACACTGCACAGCGTAGACCCCACGCCAATCATGCGGTGTGGCTTTTGAATGTCCGTTCCATAAAAAACAAACTTTCTGCGGAGGCTTTTTGTGGTGCCGCAACCCTCCAGGGTTCAATAAAGATTATTATTATTATTATTATTATTATGGACAAATTCTTATATATACTGCGAGTATCTCAGCGACACAGCGTGTACTCCTGACTCCGCTCGTCACGGTTGGATTCCGGGAATTCCTTATCCCTTTTCCAATAGACCAGGGGTGGCCAGGCTGGCCTGGCATAAGAGCCGCCAATAAAACCATGGAACTTCTAAGAGCGGGGGGGGGGGGGGGGGGGGGGGGGGGGGGGGGGGACAAATTTAACTTTTGTTCAGAGTCTGACGCTACGTATGGGGGCACAGGGCTGTACGACTGTACGTATGGGAGTACAAGGCTGTTAAAGTGCAAGCTGCAGTGTGCTTTATTCTGAAATCCTTTCTTTTTTTCCTGGGGAAACGCGAAAAGGGGCGAAGGGGGGGGGGGGGGGGGGGGGTCCCCTTACGAGGGATCCGCGAGCCGCACTTGGACCAGCAAAGAGCCGCATGCGGCTCGCGAGCCGCGGTTTGGCCACCCCTGCAATAGACTGTTGCAAAACATACAGCGCCAAGACAGTAAGTAATTTTGAGAACCCTTGGTACAGATCACACGCTTTCTCATTGCGCCTCCACGACTGCGCGTCAGTCGCGGAAGCTACCACCAGCAAACGTCGCAACCATCTCTGCCACCCCACCCATCCGCCGGAACGCCATTGACAGTATACCACACATGTGGCGCTGAAATGCAATGCAACAGGTGAAGCTATAGACCCTTTTTATGGTAAATGCCACCAGGTAGTGCTCCAGTGTTTGACATTCCAGAAAACTTCTAGTTTATAAAAAGAATGAACAAAGGCTACCTTAAAGGGGCCCTGCAATCATATTTAAGCATTCTAACTTTTTTGCAGTTTCCCCGTCTCTTGGGGTTTGGGCAAGCCAGCGAGCACAAAGAGAGTGACTAAATATCAGTGCATCATATTTTAACTGGACAACGCAGAAACCTCCTCCACCTACGGGGGCGACCTGCGGTGCCGAAAGCACGCCATACGTGAAGTCTTTGGTCCTGGCCTTACCACTGGTCATAGCCGCTAAAAGATTCTTTTTAGATGAAATACAAAATTTAAGTTGTGCGAAGCGTTTTAATTATTTATGAAAGTAGTTTTTGTTCAGTATTTTAGATTAGAAAAGAAACAAATGCAGTTTATGAAGTACGGAAACAAGAAATGACCCGTCAACATACCCACCACCGAACAGTGGAAAAGGCGGCGCATACTAGAAAGGGGTACTGGGATCAGGCACCGACTAGCGGCGAGCGTAGAAAGGTTTCGGATGTACACGGCGGCGCTGCGGGCGTATACGGGCTCGAAGATCCGACTGCTTCGAAGCGTTTCGAAGGCCTTCGGCGGCAGGCTTGGCTTAGGGTTTGGCCGTTTGGCGGTATGGCAGCGCGAAGTGGCTCCCCCTCTGAACTATCTTTGCCCCTAGTATGTTGTCGTTTGCCGTTTATGCTGAATTAGTGTTGAATCACGCAACAAATGCAATGTGAGCCGCCCTGGCCACCTGCTTCATCCAGCCTATCCAGCACGCTTTAGTGGCGCCCTCTCGAGCCGTCGACACAAAGTGCGGCAGCCGTAAGTGCTCGCTGAGCTCACTACCCCTCCTCTAGTTTACGGCCACTCAAGCTGTGACGAAGGACGTAATGAAGGAGGTTATTTTTCGCTTGTTTTTATCATTTTAATTTGCCTATAACTTTTAAAATAGAGCGAAATTCAAGAAAAGAAAAGCTTCATCAAGTTACTGCGTTCAGTGCGCTCAAGTTCAGTGCAAATTACAAACCAGTCAAAAAGTCACTGCAGGGCCCCTCCGAGAGCGCTGCTTGAAATGAAGATGAAACGTTAACCACCAATTCTCCAGGTGAATGCCAAAAGAACGAAGGAGTGAGAGATCCGATAAAATCTTTCGAGTATTCTTGTAAACCAACTTGGCATCCTCCAAGATGTAATATCGTACAGCCAAAGGCCCTCGTTAAATCTCTAAATTTATTGTTCGTGCAGCATTTGTGCTTTCTAGCACTGGTGACATAAGCAAGTTCAACAGGCTTGCAAAGACGGTGTGACCGGAAGTCGCTTAGGTTACAAGCAGCAGTTCATTTTTGTAAACGGAAAAAGGGTCTATTCATTATTTGAACATGTTATTCTTCGTAACTTACCTTCATGTCTTGCAGTGTCACCGAATCTACTTACTTTGCACAACAACCGCGGCAGGGTTCGACTAGGTTCGACAAAACGTCGGTGTAGCAGACGACGGAGCCAATACAAAGAAGAGGGATGAACAAGGGGCAGCCTCGCAAGATAGCCAACGCGATACCCTCAACCCCCATCCCCGTGCGCTCGTCGCTCGTTCGACTCGGCTGCTCAAATGTTGTTGCCTTGGGAACCTATATATCACATGGTTGCGGGAGGACAGATGATGAGAGGAGCGTACCGAGGACTCCCAAAAGTGGGCTCCTGGGATTCTTGCAAAGGGTATATTGCATTCCTCTCGATATTTGCTTCCCTCATCCAGACTCCCAGATATTTGTATTTTTCCGGCCCAAAGAGCGCTGGTTGCCTTTGGCAGTGCTTCAAGTGCGCGCAAGCTCAAGGTTCACAAGTCACCAAAGTGTTATCGAAGGAAGGAAGCTAGAGCTGGAGGCGGGAATGCTGAACGCCTTCTTCGCCGTTCGCATCCTGAGAGTGGGTACAAAGGTGGAAGAACCTGCTAGTCTGTTTTTTTTCTTTAGTTTTGATTGAACTGTTGTATTTTTTTTTATTATTGCACTTTTATTACGCAGTGCCGCTTGGTGTGCAGGTATTCAGGGAAAAGCAGGCGCCCATACACGTTTCGTGCCCCTGACACCGAGTGGACGGCGCTATAGGTTGACTAGGGAGATAGAAAATATGGGGGAACAGAAACAAACAAGTCCAGAATAATAAATGGAGTTGTGTGGATATTTATACAGTGTGTAGTCGGTCAGCCATTTCAAATATGCGACGAAGCACTCGCTGTAGATGAACAATTTAGCCAGTGCAGTACTGTATGGTGCATGTTAAAGACCTGGGGTCTTTAACATGCACCACACAGTAGTGATACACAACCTCACGCCTGCACGATGCTCATCCAGATCGAAACGGGCAGGGGTGGGGATTGAACCCAGGATCCCTGGGTTCTGCAGAGCGAGCCTTCGCTCCATGTGCTCCGAGCTTCTGTGCGCTAGCCCACTCGGCCACCGATCCCCCCAAGTTTAGGCACACATAATGTACAGTACCTAATAGCAAGTTTGTTTCACATGCACTGGCACCGTTCGAGTTCTCTCCCAGAATGGATCGCACTTGTGGAGTGTCACATGGAGAACTGGCCTCAAATAAACTTGCCAAATACACCGAGTGCAGAAGACTGACGGTGTCGCAATCTATGTTGTAGAAAGAGTACCGACTTCAAACCTAAACTAGCGCCTTTCTGTTCGACATGATAAGTGGAATGCAAGAGTGCATTCGCTGCCAATGTTTATATATAAATATTGGTTGCTGCAACCTGTAGTTTATATATCCTATGACTTCAAGCGTGGAGATATTTACAGATGGCGTACATTTCTGCAACCAGCCGACTACAAAGCGGCTAGTTGAGATCTTTCAATTCTTAAAACCATTTATACTGGAGAAAACTGATGATGCTGCCCGCGCAGAAGCTTGATCCGTTTGATCTTGGTATCATGCGTGAATCACTGAAAGGCTACAGATTAAAGGGACCATGAAGGCAGTTTCGAAGTTTTATTCGACGATTGAAATGGATGTCAGGCACGTCTTAGATACTGTTGACCAAGTTCTAGCCCGAACAGAAGTTTGGGTGCCGCACCAATCGAGAAAAACAGGCGCGGTAATAATAGCGCCGGGAACGATGCCTGAGACCCCACCGAGGCGGCGGCAGAAAGGTGAACTAAAGTGCGCCGAAGCGTGACGACAACGGGCTCCTCTTCTGGCGATTGGTTCAAACGATAGACGCGCTCTTGGTTTTTATTTCGTTGGTGAGACGTGATAAAAAAAGTTCATTTGAACATTGAATAATCTTTTGAAGTTGTAGTTGGGAATTAATAGGTTTCATACTGTGTATAAAAGCATAATCTGAAGCGATCCCTCAGTTTGTCACTGGTTGAACGCATACCGCACTGCTACCTCGGGCGCGTAACAAGCATCGAGCAACCATGGACAAAAAAAAAGGAAAAAGAGGTAGGAGCGCCGGGGGCGGCGGACTTTTGGTTTTGGTTTCGTGCGTCGTCTCGTGTTCGCTTTACGAACTGGTGTCTCACCAATCATGCCGCGTTTATGTGCAGTAGTACGTTGCAGTAGTATGTTGCGACCGATGCAGCAATGCGCAGCATTGCTGCATCTGTCGCCAGTCCAGAGTTTTGCGTCCTTAGCAGCATCTCCCGTTCAGTCGGCGTGAGGTCGCTGAAAAACAGCTCAAACTCGTTTGCGAGCGCGGCGTTGTCGTCCATTTCTTCCAGGTTTTCTTCACAGACCGCCGTGCACTAGAGCGAACCACGGGAACCACACTGAGTGTGCACTAAATCCTACCGATGCCAACAGTGCTCCCTGACGTCACTTCTCTTTCCAGAGGCGAAAAAGGGAAGAAATCTGAATGTTTGTTTCGGTTTCGCAAATTTATTTGCAGGTACAGAAATAAGAGTCGCAACGTTCTAGAAAAAATTGTGTGGCATGCCTGGACCCCAATGCTTCCGAAAACACTTTCTTTTTTAAAAAAAATTAAATTGCCTTCATGGTCCCTTTAAAACTAGTTTGTTGGAATATCCAGCAAAACGTTTGGTGGGACATACGATTTTGATCGTCGTTACAGGTCGATCAGATTTTAGCCTTGGTGAGGGCATCGAGAACGAGAGCTTTCTCAAACAAAATATGGCGGGGCAAAATTGCTGACATAGATAAATGTTAAACATGATTATGTTGCCCGAGCCTCGGGTAAAGTCACTGTGTTTAGCTTTCTCGGATGCTTATTGGGCAGTCAGAGGTTTCTGCTGGGGTAGCTTTGTCGGCAAATGTTAAAATGTTCACCCGCACACGGATGGTAATAAAGATATCGGGGGCTGCTGGTGCGTTTGTTCTGAGCATTTCTTCACACACCGATATATACGGTGATCCAAGTCACCAAGCTCGACGTAAAATGGACCATAAAAATCGACGCCTGCACGTAGCAATCTAAACTTTTCGTCAAAGGTGTATTTCACAGGTTGGGTTTTTCTTGTAAAGTTACAAAGCATAGTTCTCTTTCTGTAAAAAATAAGGCCAAAAAACTTGCCAGGGTCTACGGCGAACAGTGATGCGGACGACAGGGGTTCAGTAGTGGGGTGTTTGGCGTTTGTGTTGATAGATGGCACTCACTCCTTATCGCGACGGCTCGCAGCCACCGTGGTTTATAAAATGAACATATTTTTGAAATGTACCTTCGGTGAAAAAATAAGTGCGGACATAAAAAGCAAAACTTGAAGTAAAAAAACGCGTCTGCATAACGGCGGCGCTTCTGCTGCCAACGGATTTCGGCTGTGTGTCGTCTGCGCCTTCAGACGCTGCTCTTGACACCATCTTTCAATATGACTGAAAATTTCAATGGGAAAATGGAGCCCATTTTAGCCCGTTTTCGGGTTCTGGTGCCATAGAGCCCTATGTATTCGGAAACTCCATCCGCTGCCATTTTTTCATTGAAATTTTCAGAAAATCACTTGCAACTTTTGATTAAGTTATCGGACCAGGCTGAAAGTTTGGCATCTGGCTGTGACCCGGTCCCCTAGCGCTACCTTTGGGCCGAGAATAAGCGTTCGGCAATGCCTAGTTTATTTTTGCGGTAAAAAAGACCATGTAATTTTTTTTTTTTTTGAGACCCAGTATACTTCGGCGTCCGTACCTGAACAGAGCGCGCGCGACTAAAAACTTGCAAATAAAGCAGGGGTTGTCAATTGCTTCCTTCATGCAATAGCAAACGCTCACAATTCAAGCTTGCATTTGATTCCGTTGCCCGCAGGACACAATTTCTATCAGAAAATCTACTTTTTTTCCCTTCGGTTTCGCTATTCGAACGACACATTATAGCAGACAAACCCTCGTTGCCTGCTCCCCTTCTTCGCCTTAGTGAAGTATGACCGGATATCATTTTGGCCCACGCTCGATTTTTGTAGCGTGAGCTACACTGGCCGAGGTTGAGCAGTTTCGCGTGGCTCCCAAACAGCGTGCTGCGCATGCGCGAGGAGCAGTGACGTCACACGGCGCACAGCTGGCGCGCCGGAGCCGCCGCCGCCGCCGCAAAGCGCGCCTCGCCGGTCTGCGCATTCCAGAGTGACGTCATAGCCGCGGCAGACGTACTCGCGCCGCCGCGTGCCCAGCTGTGCGCTTCCGTTGCGCAGTAGCCAAGTCTGACGCTGCACCGGAGCCGCTTGATAGCGCCTTTAATTTTGTGCGCATAAGCTCACGCTACGTGTATCCTGGCATAGCCGAGCTAAACCACCGCAATTTTTTTCTGTGCAGCGAGTGTATGCACGCGTGGGGTGCCGCCGGAGAGTGCAACCACTCGTGGAGTGCCGACCAAAACGAACTCGCTCCAGCGGCGCCACGCTGAGTGGGCACGCGTGTATAAGAACGCCGTGAAACGAACTCGATTGGCGCCAACTCAGCCGTTGTAGAAGTCAAGGCACGACCATGAGCGGGACGTTGCGAATTTGATTTCAAAGACATCGCCTAACGCTTCTATCGATTCAGTCTTGAGACAGTACCTGTTTGCCGAGAAGTCTCCGAACGTGAAACCGAAATCGCCGAGCTGACATTCACATACGGACCGCTGCCCCGCTGTACTGGCTGTACTGCCTTCACTCAGAGCCGTATATGTAGAGAGTTTGGTCAATGGGAGGCGCGGGCAGAGCCAGGGCGTGCGGCAGACTCGGAAAGAGGGCTTGGCATGCTCTCTTGACCAACCAGAAGCCGAAAAGAATCCCCTAGCGGTGGTAGCGAGAAACAGTTCTGAGCCGATGGAGCCGATCGATCATCGAAGGTCTATGTTCGTATATGGTTTAAATAAGTGCGTAAGAGTGAAGTGTAGTAACTCTTTGTGGTTGAAAATAGGGTTCACGTGTTGTTTCATCATGATCATGCAGAAAGATGTAAGAAACGAATGCGCCGCTCAACTCTGTTTTGCGCGGAAAGAGTGTGACCGCTCTGATGGGCAGATTCCCGGCGCTCGGCGTTTGGCGTAAGGATTATGTCGATCTTTCTGCTAGTCGCACTCTTCCACCATCATTTTAGATGAGTCTGATTGAAACATCACGTGTACCATATTTTCAGCCATCAAGAGTTACTCCAATGCAGTTATCAGGTTTGTTTCTCGCGACCACCGCCAGGGTATTATTTCCGGCTTCTGGTTGGTCACATTCGAATTTCTGAAGACGCCCTGGAACACGCCCAGCCCGCTTTCGGCCAATGGCGCCGCTTCATTTGTCTCCTATACTTCCCAACGAATGGCCAAACTCTCTACATATACGGCTCTGCCTTCACTTGCAGAAACCTGTGGCTGCCTGTGGCCGCTGTGGCGGTGAAACGAATAGTGGATCAATGAACGCAGCTGAAGGTGACGCGCCTGAATCGGTCGGTAGCTCGCGCCACCTCGTTACTAAGAATGAATGTATAAATCAAGTACCATAAATAAATTTGTACTGAACGCTTTCTACGCTCGTCGCCAGTAATGTTGGCAATAACCACGTAATGTTTGACGGAGGCGCCCTTTCGCAGTCGGGCCTGCTAGAGCCTGCGTTGTCGTCGCGCTCCTCGCGCCGAACGAATTAACCCGCAAATGAAAATAAACATTTATCGGCGTTAGAGGAGAATGACAAATAGAATAACGTAGAGAATACCACCGTAACATTAAACAGAACGCTCCATTTCCACGAACATTTGTGTTTTGCTCAACTTGTGCCACCAGTCAGATGGCGTCTGCCTGGCCACCCCCAAATTCTCAGTCTATTTTCTCTACACCTCAACGCTGTCGTGGAATCAGTCTCGCCTTTAGCTGTACAGTCGTACAGTGTGGAGTTGAGTGAAGTGCCCACCCAGAAGACAGCATCATTAATTGTGTTGAGCCGGAAAGTCCTGTTATGCGGAGAGCAAGTTCGTCTGCTTTCTTTTGCAGGGGTTTGATGGCATCAGAAGACCGAACTGACCGAACTCTGATTGAAGGATAGGGGGTAGACCCCAAGCTGCCTTGAGGTCTCCAATCAGAGCTCGGCGTTCTGACGTCACCACAACCCCTGCAAAAGAAGCAGACGAAATTGCGCTCCGCATTTCCGCAGAGCACAGCTGTGCTCGGTGACAAGTGCACTGAATCGCCCGGGGCTTACCCGCCGCGATTATGCAGATTAGGCAGCAATGCCTTCACAGTCCGCGTTCATCATTTTTTTTTTTTTTTTTGTTTAAAATATAAGTAAAAATATTTGCATATAGCAGGCAGGTCTATATATCCCCTCGATTAGGGTAGCTGTAACAAATCTGCCGTTTACATGCCACAGTTATATAAAAATTAACCGAGCAGAACTGGAAGGTTAAAAACAACCTTCACGAGATCAGCTGAATTTTCATTCAATATTCAATATAAACATAACAAATATTATGCGATGGGGGCAAGTTTAATTTATTTTTTATTTTCGAGGATATTTTATATAAAATCAGATGTATCGTCGAAATTTAGATTTACAAATTATTTTAATCCACTTTATTAAAAAAAAATGTTTTATTTCATTTAATTTTTTTATTATTGCTGCTGATCATATTAACTTTCAATTGGCGCAATGCAATTTCCCCCTCTTCTTGGTGTATTTGTATCTTGTCTAGAAGTGATCAAAATCGCACCCACACTCTCGGAACGGCCACACGCAGCCTCCTCAGGTTTCGCTGCGAAGATTATACTGCTTGTTTTCGTGTTAAAATGCAGCAAGTAAATTTATTTGGATTGAGAACACTCGTGCTTGGCTAGATATTGTAGTTCCTTAATTGTGTAATGATGGCAACCGACATTTAATACTTCGTTTTAGCTTCAATGGGAGTGATCCTATGACTTATTCAAGCGCATGCATGCAGCCTAAATTGTTGTCCACTCTTTACAGGCCATGTGCGAGACAGGGAAGCACAGAGCATTGGTGCACGCACTGTAGTTTTGGCTTAGCTCAGACCTGAGGTGAAACGATGTAAAGAACCTTTGTTTTTCTGCTTCGACCCATTTGCCTGAAGAGATAACTAAGCAGGCGCTGATATCCATGTCTTTGTCAGAAGCGGATTTAGAGGTGGGGTCCGGATGTTTAGACCCTGCTCTTGATTTCTGCATCTGTAAATATTTAGGGCGTGGAAACGGGGAAGGGGGGGGGAGGGGTTCCTAAACACATGTTGCGCTGACCAACACCTGACCCCTCCCCTCTAGAAATCCCTGCATCCGCCCCGGGTCTTTGTCCAGAACCGACACTAAGTTGTTCGAGATGTGAATGCAAGGAATGTACGAATGCCCGTAATCTCACATCTCAAATTTTGGAAAATTTAAAAGAGGAACATGTCACATGCTGCATGTGGGAAAGAGGAAATATAGTCGAGAAAAGGACCAAACCACGTCTTCCTCAAGGAGCTGCAGGACTACATTCGGAACCTCCAGAGAGACGCGCAATCTGATTCGCCAAAACCAAAATAGCTCAGAAGCGCGCTGTGCTTCATTCCGATTTTACAGAGAATCTGACAGTTGCGCTACTGAACGAAATTCAAGAGTATACCATTGGCACTAACACGACATCTCAATTCTCACGTGTGTCGCATCAACTGCTAAGGGTTCTCAGAGCTTCGGCGTCATGTCTAAAGATCTCTCACATGACACACTACACGCTTCGCTGGCAATTCGAGTGATTGAAGACTGGTTAGAAGACAATGTTCCCGTTTATTCAAGCATCACCTACACGTCTGATGGAGAAGCATCCCACATTAAGAACAGCTACCTGCTCTTTGAATTTGCGCAAGGCGGCTCCGACAAAGCAAAATGGCTATTCTCGGCACTCAGCCACGGCAAGAGCTCATGTGACGGAGTTGGCGACCTTCTGAAGCACCTTGCCACAGTACACAATTATCGTTCGCAGGACTGCTCTTTGATATGGACGTCAAAGGACTTTGTTGAAAAAATTAAAACAATGACAAGAAACATTGTGCTTTTCGACTTACCTGAGAAAGCAATCGATACATTCAAGCACAAAAAAGGCTTGAGGTACATCTAAGCACTTCTTACGAGTTGTGAATGCGAAGGCACGCAAGCCGCTCTTCGCGCCCTTTTTTAATCTGCGGCGTACAACGGGCCGACCTTGGGAGTGGAACGGTGGAGCCGCAGCCTCGCGGACACGCAGCGCCATCGGGTGAGCGATCGTTCAAACTGTCTTGAGCCTTGCGGCGTGAGGAAGGAACAAACAGAAACATAGTTCCCAGCAGAACGAACCCCATGGTTTATTTATTCTATGCACCGTATATATTGCCAGGCGCCGTACCGATAAGAGGCGAGCGAACTCGACAATCACTTATAACACAACAGTGTGATAACACAGTCAGGATGACGCCACACAAACTGACGCGCAGCGGCCAATGGGAGCCTCGTCGACGCACGCCAGCCAATGGGATTGAAGTGTAAAAGGTGCCTATGGCTAGCTTTGAGCGTGGTGTCATTAAGGTGCCGTTATGCATGGTTTCAAAGCTGATGACGTCAGATTGCTCCACGAGACACCCAGTTAATGCTTTCGCATTAAAAAAACGGGCCTCCATAGGAGCTCGCAAACGGATACGCTCCTCACATGTGTAGTGCACAGTTCGCGAGCCAGGCCAGGAACCTAAAGTGACATTAACACGAGATGTGCAGTCGCCCGCAATATTAAAGACACATTCGCCCATGCCGTTCATGCAGCGGTGCCAAGTCCACCTTGGCCAGACACCCTTTAGCGTGAAGGAGAAAATAGAACAAACATTTATTTATAACCCAACCCAAGCAATAAGTGCCTAGCCAAGGCGAATCTACCGATGCCACCTAAAACTAAATCATAAAATCGGCTTTCCATATTCCCAAAAGCTGTACACATCTTTGCACTGAGCTCGGTGCAACGAAGTAGATAAACTACAAGTCTACAAAGACATAAAAAAAAGACAAAAATTTTTTTTTTATTTGTTTGGGACACGCGTGTCGAGAAATAAATTTTACGATAAAGCAAAAAAAGTTTTAGAGCAATATTGACGGCGAGAGATTTATTTGAAATTCTGCATGTGAAGTCCATGACCTCACTGGTCATTCCAGAATGACCATCTCGGTTGTGAAGGCAAAGCCGATTTACCTCTCCTCCACGCGCCCCAAATGCCGAGAGAAAACAAGGGGAAAGGAGGTGACCGCCGATTAAATCGCGTCTCGCTTTGTCATTTTTTTTCGCATAATTTAAATTTTTTTTACACGCGTGTCCCAACCAGACTTAGAAAAAACATTGTTTCTTCTATTCAGGGGCCCTTCAAGTGGCTAATTTTGCTGCCTTCTGTGCATATTGCGTGGCTCGTGAACTGGACTATTTAAAGCACAGCAATATATTGTTTTACAAGTGCATCCTAAACATAGTATATATGCCTTAATTAATAAAAGTGACTTTTTATTACAAATTGGCAATTATGTTCTGAAAAAAATTGTCTTTGCTTCAAGTATATTTGGTTCGTTTTCCCTACTTTTTTTCAGTAAACTGCTTTCCCTTCTTAAAGAGGGGCATATCATATTACATATCTTTGATATACATACTGCTGATAAAGAACAGGCATTTACATAGTTATTTGATC